TTTTCAAAAGTCATCAGGCACTAATCTCTGGGATTTTTAAGGATTGCACTACAGAAGAATGTAAAACTATTCAGGCTTCTGCACTTTTAGCAGACAGTGTCACTCCGAGACCAGTGCAAGAGGCAAAGAAGTTCCAACCTTTAAACATTGGCACCAGCAGGCTATGCGATTTACTACACAATAAAAATCTTAAATAATTCTCTCCTTTCCCTTCCAAAAGAACACACATGGCAGTTTCATTTCGTTCTGGAAACAACCGTACTCTCACTGTCACCATTATTACTAGATAGAAGTGGGTTACCAGCAGTGAAAGTAACTTAGTTTTCCAAGGGTCCAAGTCCCAGAGACTCCAGGGCCATAAAGGCTTCACAAAAGAGGGGTTTTTTTTAAGTAATACACGAAACACCTTTTAAGTCCTGTTACTGTGTATAGGTCTCTTTCACAGAAACCTTACTACTCTGCTTTTGTAAATGAATTTTAAACCATCCTAAAAATAAACTCTGGCAGCAGAGTTAGCAAGCTGTTGCTTTACTTTATGTAATGAAACTGACTCGTACCCCAGGGCTTTTGCTACAGGAGTCAGAGGGGAGGAATTCAAACATGTAAAGGATCGTAAACGTCATTATTTTGAAGACTTTTAAGGATTTACTGTCAGCCTTCTTTGTGGCCGTAGATTCCAGATTACTAATTTTGGTGTTAACTACCTAGCATACATAATTTTGAGTTGGCAAGTTTAATTAAGAGTTAGGCAGAAGCCAAACAAAGCTCATGTTGCTGAATTGAAAAGGTCTTGTCCTGTCTTGCCCAAGGAATTTCACAGGCTGCAATGGGTGCGGCCTTTTTTTTAAAAAATGGCCTGAAATTTAAAGTGATTCTTGTTTTCCAGATTAGAGTATGCAACTTTAATACCTGAGGCCTTGTTTACCTTGTGGGATTTTTTTTACACCTGTATAGCTACACCAGTGCAAACCCGAGGGTAGAGGTGCTATGCCAGAATAAATAGCACTTGTCCTGGTGCATCTTGCTCTGGTTTGAAAGCAAGGAAGCCGGACCAGTGCAAGACGCTTTCTTTGTGTGCGCAAAGCTCTTCAGGGTAGATCCGGCGTTAGCTACTGAAGTGTGAGTTTAAGTAGCTAATGCAATAAATTGTCAATCAAGATTTTAATGGCAAATGTTAGAGAAGTTAAACGTCTGGGACACCTTTCAGTTCCGTTTTCTCAAAACTGTCAGCCTCACCCCAAAGCAACAACAGGCTAGGACAATATGATGAATTAGTATTGATAAAGAGGCATTGTAACGTGAGATGGCAAGACACCAAACTTATCCCAGTTTTCCTTTGGAGGTCATACAGTTTTTTGGCTTACAGAAACCAAAGCCTGAAGTTGTGTAACATTTGGTTTTTCAAAAATAACAAGATTTCTGTTTTTTCTTATTTCTATGCAATGAAGAAACGCCATACTTCTGTGTCCTCAGCTCTGTTCACACTACACAGTATTTATAGACAGTGTTGAAACAATTGTTTGCTATGTCTGTATTTTGAGGTGGTTATATAGAATGGTCTCATGAGCAACTTTCAAATCTGCAACACTAATGTGATGAGAACTGACAATGCAATTTACTTCGCCTTAATGAGCTTGAAACAATAGTACAAAAAAAGCTGTCATACAGTATGTTAAAGGGAACTTGCAGTTTTCACTTAAAATGTTTACTACAGGATTTTGATGGTCTCTCCAGTAGCCTGGAACGTGTGCTGAAAGCCAAACTTTCACATTTTTTCACTTTTTTTAAACAAAAGACTATTTTAAAATTGAACTGTATTTGAACTATTTCAACACACATGCAAGGACTAAAAGCCTGCCCTCAAACTAACAAAAACCAACAAAAAAAAATTCTTGTTTTCTATACCAGTTACATTTTGTTTCATGGGTAAGGCTGGGAAGTATAGTCTTGTCTGTTTAATATTCACTGCACATTAAAAGGGTAACGAGGATTATTAAACTGAACTTTTATCCAGTTAGTGTCTTCAAAAATGGTTTCATTCCTGCATTCAGAATTCTTCTCTTCAAGAATGTTTCCTTTATGTAAAGTTAAGGCTGATATTTCCTAGGCTGATTAATGTGCACTTAACTATATTTAAAAATTACCTTTTAAGGCTGATTTCAAATTCAAACTCAGAAGAGCCTGAGTAAATGGAAGGAAATGGAGCTTAATGTAGAAATGTTTGAAGAGCAAGTATTGTTTATAGAGCTTTCCCTAAATCATCAACCTGAATTATGGCTGCTGATTTTGCTAGCATAATCTGTTCAGTTTGTACCAAGAACAACCAAAGTTGGTGAGCCGAAACAGAGCACTTTAATTATATAATCCATTTTAAAAGGCATGAGTCCATCTTTCCTCTCAAATTAGTTTGTCTAGAGTGACTGAAAGAACCAGCTCATAATACCATTTCTGTATGTCCAAATATGGAAAATAGACACAGAATAAGCTTTTTACTCATATCTTTGCCCTGGCAGTGTAAGAATATCTAGTTTACAAACTAGATTGCACTATAGGATACCTGAGACTTTAAAATGCAAAAGAGGGACAAACTCCTGGTCATTCTCTGCTTTTAATCTCAGCACTGTAGGAATGTGAAAGAGGGTCATAACTTTAAGCTTCCTTACTGGGGGAATATATAGTATATAGTGCAATTTCACAGTAGTCTTTCTGATTTTAAAGTATTGGTGATGGAAGTGTTAGGAGTATGAAGCCAGAATTACCAACAAACTCTTCTGACAGTAGCAGTCCAATTTGAAATTAAGCATTAGAGGTTAGTATATTTGTGTCATTAACATTTGTTAGGAGGGTCAACAAGGAAGATTCATATCAGGAAGCAGGTATTAATAGGATTTCATAGTAACTTTACCTACAGTAATATCAGGTTTCATGTTATGTGAAACTTCCTAAACTGTATTAAACATGACCAGTAAAAATTCAGCCACAAAATAGGTGAAGGACTTCCTCAAATAATAGTATAAACCAACCACTGTTACCTCAGCTTGAGTTTCATGCCATTTACTGCTTGTTAGTACAGATGCTAAAATTTGGTTTATGGTATTTGGCAGAGAAGCCACACTAATTCCACTCCCCCAAATGAAAACAGATTAGTTCTTGCAGTTTCATAATGGCATCAGTCCTGTAGAACACTTAAAGCCCTGGATTCTGGGAGTGGTCTAGAATTCCTTTGTAAATCCAGTGGGTCCTGTTTCGTTGGAAGTAAATGTACTTACCACTTGCAAGATTCTGGAAAATCATATTGCTGGTTGAGGCCAAAGGTAAGTTACTACAATACTAAGGAACTACACAACAAACCCTTGGGACTATTTAAGTTCTTACACAAGTAAAAGATGCTTTGGTACAGAAACAAAGCAAATCCTATGTTTTGAAGTATAGTTTAACAGTTTCTCTTGGATATAGTTTTCCACTAGGAATAAAGGAAACTCCTACTCCAATTTGAGCCATTTCCCTTACTTCAGTCAATTGTGCATGTAACTTTATAAATATTTTTAAAATAGTTTTGTAAATATTTAATATTCAGCTAATTTGATTTTGAATTGTAAATGTCAAGTATTCTGGTATTGGAATTTTTATGTTTTATTATACTTTGTTAAAGGTAAAATTGTACATTTTTAGAATGTTTTTATCTAAGTAAATTTAATGTATGGAAAATAAAAAATGTCCAAGTCCTTAATTGCTTTTAAAAGGCTTTATCCCTTTTAGTTTTCTCCCAACTTAAGTTGAGAACTATCTTAGAAATTAATTCAGAACAATTTTACAGTTAAAGCCACCCTCAGTCTAACTATACTCATCTGCCAATGAATCAGATAGACCTTACATTGTTTGTGTCTCTATGCAACTGCTATTCTCTAATATTTAAAATTTGAGGGACAAACTTTGCCTGAGTCAAGCACAACTGAGGTTACTCTGCAAGGTACTGCTGTCCACAACGTGACACTTCACTCCTGGACCTCATTTCAGAAGACTGACTGTTGGGTTAGTGAGCAGGGGGTTCTGCAGTGTTTATAAACTAGGACCACACTGTGACTTAAAGAATTACAAGTCTGGTCTTCACAGGTGAAAGACAAGTGGAACTGCTGAACACAGCCATAGCCCTTAAAGCCAGTATTAAAACACTGTTTTGGAAGAATGGCATTTTGTACTGTAAGCTATACAAAGTGCTGTCTGCTCATTGCTTTCTTGCTAAATCCATTCCTTTGAAACCCTAGTTAAGTCTCAATACCTACAATTGCTTCTGAATTGTTTATTAAATCACTGAAGGGCTAGATTCTGCCACCCTTATGCCTGTTGTAGTACCTTACTAGTCATAGTCCCAGTAAAGTCAGTGGGGACTATTGATGGAGTAAGTGGTGTAGAATCTAACCCCAAATTAAAAACATGAGATTTCTTTAAACTTACTTGTTACTGTAAACTCAGAAAAAAAGCTAAACAGTGACTAATGTTGCAGAATATAACAAGTTAGCCTTGGGATAAAAAGCTAGATTGAGGGAAGTTTTAAGTAAAATCTTGGATGAGATGGGAACAGCTGTTTTCTGTGCAGAAAATATTCAAGCTATTTTATTAGTATGGTTTTGTGTGGGTAGTTCATTATGTCTTTGCTATGGGAAACATAATGCATCCTTCCCCACGAACAACTAAATCGCAATGGGATTGCCTGATGATGGCACCTCCACAAGCCCCTCCTTCTAACTTCTCCCTTTCTTTTGTGACAGGGCGCCTCCATTCTAACAGAGTTAATTTTAATATGGTTGTTCAGGGTCCTAAGCATCATCATAGATTGCTAATCCACAGTCTGATCTACTAACAGACAAACCTATCATTCAGCTCTGGGTACTGGAATCATATGGTGGCCCTTGACACATTTGTCTGCCCTTCTCTAGGAATGGCTATTGCATTAAAATGAGAAGAAAGCAGTCTAAATTACCACTCAAGCTGTGACTGAGTCATGTCATAGCACTGTATTAATTTAAAAAAAAAAGCAACATTTGTACAGAAATCAGTCATACTGATCACACAGTAATTACAAGAATGGCTGTCATGAGTTAACAGGATGGTTTTACACAAAAAACTAAACATAAGACAAGCTGCATTTAAAGTTTACATTAAGTAAAAAACAATGAACATTTAAAAATTAAATAAGTATTGTGACCAAGATGCATGCAGAAAGCTGTAGGTACAAATTGTACACCTGGATGTTGTACAGAGTGCCAAGATGCAGTAGTATTGCTTCTCTCCTCCCCTTCTCCCTGGTAGTAAGTTAACTTCCACTAACAGATGTAATTAATTCATACACATGATACACAAGGGTAAATCTTAGTCTGCAATACTTAACTTTACAACTCTAAAGGCAGGACACTGATCCTACTGAGAACCCTCTGCATAGGATGCATCCCTATTCATGATACTAGTAACACCAAATTTTTAAACTCCACGCAGTGGGCAGGAAGCTTCAGTGACAGCTGTACCTCAGAACTTTAAAATATCAATTCCTGAATGTGAAATGATTTTATAAAGCACTTCCCCCATCAGTTATGACATGAACAAATGACTGAGACAATTTAGATTCATGTTTGAATCCAATGTTTTCAGTAGAACTGTGTATAAACAAAGCAGTCTGACTTTCAGCCCTGAAGAGTTGATATACAGCTGCTTTGCTGACTATAGGGAGCAGTAATCAAAAACAAATTAGGCAGAATAGTGCATGGAGTAAAACTAAGATTTTAAAGACCAAGATCACTAGGGGGGCATTACCCATTTTTAGGGGCTGCATCTATCACTCAGGCATGGTTATGGAAGTAATTTAACCAAAAAAACCCAATTATTTTCTGGAAAAGCAGCCCCTCAGGGTAGGAGGGTCTACCCACTGAAAGTTCGCTCACATGGAGCAGCCATTTGTGTCAGTGAAACTTCTTAACAGATTAAAGTTTCTCTTAATGTTAACGGTCCAGGAGCTAACCTGGAATCATCTTAAAATATGGACTTGCTACAATTAGAGTAAAGCTGTGGCATTTGGTATGAATAATGTCCAGGAATCTGGCATCTTATCTTATGCAGTAGCAGTACTATGAAACTATTCCCCCACCACCACTTGCCCTCACTTTCTGCAAATACTGAGGCAAATGATTCCACAGTTAGACTAAAGATTTAATATGCACAAACTTGTACTTTAGACCCTAACATGTTTGCTCCATGATGGAAAAAGGTAGCCTTTCCATGCAAAGGAGCACTTTCTAGGAACAGTATGAGTAATTAACAGAAAGATGTCACACAAACACTTTTGTTCACACCAGGAAACTGGTGCCAGTTCCTGTGTCACTGAAGACCATCAAGTGTTTCTTGTGTTGGCAATCTGAATGTGCAAGGTATGGTTCCATTCAGGAAGTCCAGAGACTTAAAACAAGTGTGCCTATGTGAAATATGACAGCAGGTTTTCGAAGCTAGATCTATGCTTGTCTGTACTGGCATTCAGCTGTTTAATATTCACAAACAAGGCAAGGTAAGAGGAGGACACCTGCTAAAGCAAGACTATGCTAAGGTACTGAGGAGTAGGTGACATCCCTTTCTTTTTCCTGGGGTTGGGATGGGGGGGTAGAAGGTAAAACCAAAATCCTAGGCTAGAAGCCACTTGAATGGATTACATGGAATATTGCACTCCAAAAGTTTCCTGAGAGGCATATACCATGTACAGGAATCCATCTTCATCCTTTTCGCTTTCGTACACCTCTGATATGGGGGTTGACACGCTCACCATGCTGTGTCCATTCACCAGTAAGAAGAAAGCCTGAGTGGAGTTCAGCTGCAGGCGTCGTCTGTTAAGCAAAGAAAGAGAAGGGAAGTGTGATGGTAACGGAACTTTGCGTTCCCCCAGTATCATCTAACAAACGCTCATTTGTGGCTTCTCCACAAGATGCGTTGGCGAGTGATGTGCTGGTGCACACTATACTCCTGGGGGAACTCTGTGCATCCACCGACACACAGAATTCATCTGTCTTCCACAGTTTTGTATTTTCCCGCACAAGAGACGTCTGGCCTATGAAGTGCTGCAGTTCTGCCTTTTACCCACCAGGAGCCGCTGTGGTGCCAGAACAGCCAGCTGGGTTCAGCCTGCTGTTCTGGCACCACAGAGGCCTCTGCTGGGCAAAAGGCAGAACTGCAGCACTTCTTAGACAAAATGTATTTTATGCAGGAAAATACAAAATTCTATGCCCAATGCAAACCACCTACCCACACCCAACACCCTCCAGGTTCACTCCTAGGCTCCTTCCCTCTCACTCAGCTCTTCCGGTCTCAACTCCCTAAAGCCTCTGCACTGCTTCTGACAGGAAATACTGTTCTGCATTGTAATTTAAATGAATTACACAAAGTTCTGTATTAATATGCCTAGTAAGCAATCTATCAAAAAAATTACCAGAATCTTTTTTTTGTCTGTATTGTTACAGACATACTTGCTGACAGATATTTTGAAATAAATCACCGAAATAATTGTACCTGGCATCATCATATCGTTATTTTGACAAATTCTGCATATTGTATTTTCAAATATTGTGTGCAGAATTTTTTATTTTGTGGTGCAGAATTCCTCCAGGAGTAACACTAATGGTCCTTGCAGACCTGCTGGCATGCAGTAAAAATTTCCTAGTGAGCATTAACTTAGTCCTGTAAGCAGGACTACATCAGGCATGCCAGAAACAGTCAGTGCATGCCAGCACTGTTAGCGTGCCAGACAACTTACACCTAAGCTGTTTTGCACTAACACACCATGTAGACAAGCCCTGAAATAGAGGCTGAGGCTATGTCTACACTACCGCGGTAAGTCGACCTACACTACGCAACCCCAGCTACGTGAATAATGTAGTTGGAGTCGACGTACCTTAGGTTGAGTTACAGCAGGGTCCACGCCGCGGTGGGTCAACAGGAGAAAAATGTCCCGTCAACTTACCTTACTCTTCTCATCGGGGGTAGAGTACAGGGGTCAACTGGAAAGCGATCTGCAGTCGATTTGGTAGGTCTTTACTAGACCTGCTAAATCGACCGCCAGTGAATCGATCTCAGAGCATTGATCCCGGCCATAGTGTAGACCTGCCCAAAGTCTCTTGTACAAGGCCTACATGGGAAAGTTTGCCAGGTTCGCCAGTGGGGTTAAAACAGCATAGTTATACTGCTACAAACCTGCCTGTGTAGACACTTATTCCAGTATAAAAGTGCCATTTTCAGCTTAGCTTGTCACTTAGGAAGGCGTTTAAACTAAACTGAGAAGAGGCAGTCTGACACTCGAAAGCGTCTGCATAAAGGTTACAGAATAACTATAAGTATACTGGTAGAACCACAAAAAAGTTCCTATGTAGACAAGGCCCAAAAGACTTTTGCATTTAGATTTAGTTAAGGAACCTCTTACTGTAACCGTATGAAACTGAGGCCCAGATTCACCCAATGACATCACCTGAACCCCCATGAGTAGCTGGCAGGGTGTTCTCGATTAGCACCCTAGACCTTTGGAATTCACTTCCTTATCATGTCTTCAGTGTGCATGCTAAGGCCCACCTTGCCCCTTGCCTGTGGGGAGACAGGTGTTTTCGGAGAGCTGATGAGGTAAACCCCCTGGGATTGTGTACTGTTAGCTTCTATTGTATTTGTTGTCCCTTGACTATCCATTTGAGAGGGGGAACTGAATATCTGTTTAGTATATTTTTAAAGATTGTCAAGAGTGCTGAGAGCAGTTGCCAGGGGTTCTTATTATAGTTGGTAAAAATCCAAAAGTGTAGAAATGGCTCATTTACTTAAATCAGGTAACTGCAAACATGAGATTAGAACTGTTTATCTGCATGCACAGTTTAGAAGTCAGGCCCTAGAGCCTTCAAAGCTGTGGAATTGGAAAGCCAGGTTACAGAGGGATAGCTCAGTGGTTTGAGCATTGGCCTGCTAAACCCAGGGTTCTAGGTTCAATCCCTGAGGGGACCATTTAGGGATCTGGGCCAAAAATTGAGGACTGGTCCAGCTTTGAGCAGGGGGTTGGACTAGATGACCTCCTGAGGTCCTTCCAACCCTGATATTCTATGATTCTATGACACTGAAAGAATGAAGGATGGAATTATGTCTTTTACAAGCACTTGGAGAATCCAGGCTCAGCCTAACTCAAGGAGCTTTTCATTTCATATTCCCTGGAAAGCACCCTGACATTTTTAAACAAGTTGGCCTTTACAAGGTTACAGAGGAGGGGCCCAAATAGCCTTCTGTGGGACCACCAGTAAGGCTAAGCTTTTGGAACAAAGATCAGTGTTCATGATCATTGTGAATTTGAATAAGTCTGTGATCCCTGCAGCTTCTGTGGCCTCCAGGTGTTGCAATCTGGCATACATGGTTGCAGGGCTGCTCAGGTTTGGTGCATCCAGCTCTCCAGTGCCAATCAAATTTGGCCCTCTGCCTCCACTGCAATGCCTGGAGTGGGGAGCCAAGCTCAGCCTTGTGGGACAGGAACCACTGCTGTGGGGTTAGCTCACTCTCCAGCTCCTCCCCACCCTTTGTGACATATCCTTGTTTTCCCCCACACCTCTGCCATGACGTGCATTACAATTTTCTGTAGAAAAAACCCCATAGCTTTGCCCATAAACATGAGGACTGAAGCAAGAAAAACATGCTTATTCTTAAGACTCTGGGCTTTGGAGTACACAGCCTTCTGCACTGGAGCAGATACATGCAGGATTAAAGTGAGGAGAAATGGGGAGCTTGAAAAGAAATTAATGCATTGTCATTCTGTTCCTGCCTGAGTATAGAGCTGAGGAGTCAGACTGCCTTCCAAAGCAGCCAGCAGCACATAAATACTCTTTCTACCACCCTAAGTCATTGGGGACAGAGCTGCTTCCTGCCAACTCTGCTTTTGGCTCTACCAGCTGCAGAGCTCTCAACAGAAGATTCCTTTACTCTTTTAGCTACAGCAGAGTAGAAGAGCCACCTTGAGCTCAAATTCTAACCACTCGGGTACAAAAGGTTTACTGAATGTAATAGCCAATGGACAGCACAGGAGGACGTTCCCGCAGAGTGGCTACAGTTTGGTATATGCAAAAGCACATAGGTAAGACCAAGACCAATTGCACAAAGTCAATAAAGGGCACTGAAGTCCAGCATGAAAATGGACAAAAAAACTGAGTAGCAGGAAGGCCTTTCAGCTAAGGCCTTGTCTACTCAGGGACACAGGAAAATTAATCTAAATTAACTTTGTATGAATTTAAAATGGATTAGTTAAACAGCCTTAAATCCATGTGTGGATGCTCTTATCTAGAATTAAGGTGGCTTTAATTTGGTTTCTCTTAATTCACTTCCAAATGGAATTAAGGTAAGAGAAACCAAATTAAAGCCACCTTAATTCTGAATCCACACATGGATTTGATACACTTTAGGTGGGAATGTAAAATAGATTAGTTAAGTGTTAATTTGGATTAAGAGTAACAGCCGTGTTAGTCTGTATTCGCAAAAAGAAAAGGAGTACTTGTGGCACCTTAGAGACTAACCAATTTATTTGAGCATGAGCTTTCGTGTAGCTCACGAAAGCTCATGCTCAAATAAATTGGTTAGTCTCTAAGGTGCCACAAGTACTCCTTTTCAATTTGGATTAAGTTGTCCAGTGCGTCTCTGTGTAGACAAGTCCTACTGCTAAAGTAGGATCTTAATTTAAAAGCCTTTCAAACTGCTCCAAAATACTTTGGGACCCTAATTCTGAGGTCAGTTCCCACGTTTAGTAGTTCTTATGTAAGAATCTGAATTAGGCTATGACAGTAACAATCCCATAAGGGGGATTTTTACAGTACCATATGGGGAGGGTCTCTATTTCAGTATTTGTCCCAAAGACCACTCTAAAAGAAGTAGCTCACATATACAGTTCAGCCAGAGAAACAGCCACTCTATTCTTTAGAACAGCGTTTCTCAAACTGGGATCCACAGACCCCAGGGGTCACTGAGAGTACTCCAGGAGGTTCTCAGGCCCCACTGATCAATTCCTCCACCTTTCTCCTTCAACTCCTCCCTGTCCCTCTATCTCCTGGAGGCTACTGAAGCCAAACTGGAAGATTTTAGGTGCTAAAAGTCCAGTGGCACACCTGGGCTAAGGCAGGCTCCCTGGCTGCCTTGGCTCTGTGCCGTTCCTGGAAGCGGACAGCACACGGGGGGGTGGGGGAGCAGAAAGAAACCAGGAGGTCTCCACACACTGCCCAAGCCCTGACTCTGCAGCTCTCACTGGCTGGGAACTGTGGCCCATGGGAGCTGTGGGGGCGGTGCTGGCAGGTAGGGGCAGTGCTTGGTGACCTCCACCTCCATCCCCCGCCTAGAAGCTGCTGCCAGAGAGATGTGCCGGTCATATTCGGGAGCCGGCCGAGATAAGCACCGCCCAGCCAGAGCCTGCACCCCAACCCAACCCCCTGCCCCAACCCAGAGCCCGCACTCAAACTCCCTTCCAGAGCCTGCACCTCACGCCAGAGTCCGCACCTCACCCCCACCCCCCTGCACCCAAACTCTGTCCCAGAGCCTACACCTCCTCCTGCACCCCAACCCCCTGCCCCAGCCTGGTGAAAGTGAGTGAGGATGAGGGAGAGAAAGCGACGGAGGGAGGGGGAGATGGAGTGAGCAGGAGACGGGAAGAGGTGGGGTGGGGCCGGGGGCTGAGCGAGGGAGTTTGGGGGACCCTCAAAATTTTTTAAATGGGGGTCCTCGGCTTGCTAAGGTTTGAGAACTACTGCTTTAGAACATTAGTGAAGCAACAAACTAGACTCAAAATGGTGAATGATACCGAACACTGATGACTACTTACTACCCTCAAATCAAATATCCTCTGCTTACATCAAGATAGGGAACTGTACATGGATCTCCTCTGCTGCACAGTAATGCCATTATGCTACAGTAACATATTAAGGTTTTTTCTTTCTTTCTTCCTCCCCCCCCCCCCAACTTCATCTTTGACTTTCCTCTGAAGCAACACAAAGCAAAAGCATTACAGTACTCAGCCAGTCTCAGTAAGAAGCATGGATATCAAAGCCCCACAGTCTATGAATCTGTATTATGGGATTCAACATTTTCACTTAGGGCTTGTCCACACACAAGTTGCGCTGCTTTAGTTAGACCCAACATACTTAAAGTGCTTTGGCCCTCTAGTCGGGATGCAGCTATAGTGGTAGAGAGATGCTTTATGGCAGTATAGCTATATTCTCAAATGTGAAAGGGAAACCATACTAGTAAAACTGCATCTCCACCAGAGGTTGTACTGGTATAGCAATTTGGATAAAAAAAGTTACACCCCTAACTGATAGTTATATTGGTACAAAAAACTGTAGTTTGTTTAAAGGGTGTCACAGGTGGCTGGCCCCTTAAAGTGGAGCCAGGGCCCAGTCTGCTCATTACAGAATTCAAGGAGAACAAGCCAGAAATGTAGTGGGAAAAAAATAAGTGGATAAACTAAGCTAAACTCCATCTCCCTCAAGTATGAAATGGGTAAAGTCCGTTTCCCCACCCTTCTCCTTGACAACACTACTGGAACCAGTCATCTCAGCACACCTGTAAGCAGTTAATTAACATCACCTAGGCAGTTAATTAACTAATGAGTGCCTAGGCCTGATAAAAGGCTACCAGTGCTCCCTTGGAGGGAAGTATTGCTAGAGAGAAAAGCTACCTACCCAAGACTCCTAGGAGGAGGATGACAATTTTGACCTGTTAACCTTGCTACGTGGACATATGAAAGCAGTAAGTAAAAAGAGGCTAACTGGGGAGAAGCTGACTGAGGGCTACAGCTGGCCTGAATTGTAACCCTCCAAGGGGAGAGCTGTAGATGCCTTATCAGATGTGCTTGACTTTATTCTGCATGCTAATCCAGCGCCAGGAGACATGCTAGGGACCCATGAAGGTGAGAGAACATACTTGTTGGCATTAACCCCAGGGCTGAAGGTTAGACTTCAGGGGCTAAACTGGTGGAGAGAGGGGTTGTATTCTGTAAAAAGAGTTAATAAGATCCCACAACTAGGGCATCTTGTCCTCAATCCCTGGGTTTGAATAAGTCACTGAAAGCCCAAAAAGGGAGACAGAGGGCAGCAGGCCCACAAGGCCATGCTGTGCCACAAGGGGGCAAGCTTGAGGACATTGTCCTACCATAGTTATCCAAAGCATTCACTAGCTAGCAGATTAACACTGAACTATGACTTTATTTTGATCCACCGTGTTGTACTCAACCATTAACATACCTGATAATTTTGATTAGTTCGCTCATGTTGACGTGATCTGGTACCAGGAACTTAGTTTTATCCAGAACTGGAAGCTGCTTCTCACCTTTGTACCTTTCAATAATGACCTGGAAGGAAAAAAGTTCTGAAGTAGCAGTTATAAGGCCGTGCAGGGGCTTGTTTCTGGTTATTTTATAACCCTACATTCAAGGGTAGAACACGCTGAACAACTGTGGTGGTAAGGAGCGGTTTTACCTTAGGCGTGGCAGTTCCTCCGCAGCCTGGTTGTAAATAATTACCTTCCTTCTACTCCGTTCACAAGTTTAAACGCGGGTATTGTTATAAAATTAGTCTGGTCTAGTGGCAGCGAGGACCTTCGCTCAATCAGAAAGAAGAACGGAACTGGTTTGGTTATCGAGAAATCAATGCAGTGCAGGAATAGTCCACGCCAGCTATTTCGGTTTCCATTTTAAGTGGCAAACCAGCTCTGTTGTATAACACAGTCTTCTGGGCTACTTGCTAGTGAAGTGCAAGAACAGTGGAAAGTGTTTGATTTAAAAAACAAAAAAACCAGACACTTTGTAGAGGAACTTCAACTGGCTATGTCATCAGTTTTCAGCACTGGGAAACAGCTGAGAGCAAAGACCTCAAATTAAGTTATCCCCTAATTAAATTACTGCTGTTGCTTTCAGAGAAACAAAGTGCCTCCCACACTTTACTAACACCCCCTAAAGATCATTTTACACCATGACAGGGAGGAAAGGCAATTTTCATGCAAAGAATGGTAAATTAAGAAGAAAAATTAGCACCACATTATCCTTACTGGCATAGCTTCCTTTTGATTTTAAACTAGGGTGGCTTTTTTTTTTTTGCGCTTTGCAGTTGCAAAGGCAAGATCAAGGCTGCCCATACAATGGAACTCAGAATTCAACACCCATACAATAGCCTAGTCAGAAGGAAATGGTAGCCTGGACAGGAGTCCTGACTTGCCTGAGTTACTACTAAGCAAATCCTAGAGAGCACAGTAGCTCTCCCACCACTGACAGAGCTGCATCTAGAGCAGTAAGAGTCAAAAAATAAAGACACTTCTAGTTTCAAGAAGGAGACTGGTCCCATCAGCCAAAGTGAGGTGGAATTGGCAGGACCTGTGGCTAACAGATGCTTCCAGCTATGGGTCACCTTTCTTGTGTAGACAGAGTGCAAGTGGGTGGCGCAGGAGCCAAGCTTTCAGAAGAAGCACTCCCACCAGGCCTCAGAAGGCTCTAGATAGAAGGGTTTTTTGGTTGGTTTTTTTTTTAAGAAGATAGGAGTTGGCATATTTTTGGCAGCATGGATCCTTAGATGTAATTCAAATCAAAGCATAACTTAGCCCTTGTTCTTTAGGGTTACACTCCTGACAGGAGTTACTGAGTACTCTTCTATTATAAAGACAGGTCTTCAGTTTTTGCATCTAAAGAGTTGCACATAGGATTCTCATTGGACTGTGGTTCTGTTACAAGTCGCATTATACCATACACACCATATTTCACCTGATTAGCAGCAGCCACCAGCTAGCACGTTGGTCATTGGTTGCCAGTCTGAGGATTACTTCCTCAAGACCAGGCCACCCCTGAAAGGAATAATCTTTTATTCCTACAGACCCAGAGGATTCCTAATACATTTTGGCCTTTCTTCCCTTCTGTGGTAAGAAAGGTAAAGTTATTAATCACTTACTGGTATTTTTGTTGGATGCTGATCTCGAATCAGTCGCACATCTTCTACTCTTTGCTCTGTGGGAGGAAAAAATATTGCCCATCTAAATGCTCAGATACACGCTACATTGGTTTTGTTCTAAGCCTCAGGGATACAAGGTATGCTATTTCCATGGGCTCTTACTTGCTAGTAGGCTTTTTGCTATCAAAAAAAAATGAGGTAAAGAATTTACTCAGAGGAAAGAACCGGTTCAGTAAAGGCAATTATCTAAAATAAAGCAATGATAAATACCAACTCTCCAATCAGGGATGACTGTTCTGTGACCAGAAAGATGACTACTAAACTCATTTTGGCTGAGAAACCTATACTGTGTTAATGCAGAATGCGATGCCCACTAAAGCAAAGGACATTTAATCACATGAATTTGCCGCATCCATTCCTGTTATCCCTTATCCTATATTCCTGTTTAGGAAACTTAACATGACACTATCCTAGGTTTAATCTTGTGTTCCTGAAGAGGGAGTTGCTGGCTATATACTGGCATGTAGTCTTAGCTCTTAGATCAATGTCCACTTAACACTGTACATTTGAATTAGTTATCAATTTTCTATTAATTGCATACCACATCACCCATGCTGATGGTGCTGTTCTTCGAACCTCTGGTTTGTTCAGTATTTACCCATGCCAGTTCACAAGACAAGGTTAGTTTCCTTTTAAAGGGAGGTATTAGTAGCACAGACTTAACACGCTGGGCAAAACGGAAGTCAGACCTGGTGTAAACTGATACAATTACTTTCAAGTTAGTTATGCCTGCTTACACTGGGCCTGAATTTGGACTTGCCATGAACTCAGACTTTATCTCCACTTCTCTCTGCTTTATGGGCCATGTCCCTCTATAAATACCTCTTGCAGAAAAAGGACTAAAGGCTACAGTACAGCCTAGATGCATTAGTAGACTCCTGTAATAAGAACAGATCTTCAGGGGTGTTGCTGACCATTCTTCTTCTCCCATCAACTGAGCCCATTACCTTTTATCCTAAGGTAAGGACTGATTACCTGGCCTGTCATTCAATCAACTGCTTTTCAGAGCTATTCTTTGATCACTGCTAAGATCTCATGTATCCAACAATTACATGCAAGTTTTCTATGTGATTAGTAATGACATGCAGCACATGTGACTCATGATTTTAAAATTAAATTAGTCTAACAAGAATCAAGCAAACCTAAAGCTTCTAAAGAGCAGGTCTGCAGTGATATGTGGGAATTAATGACTTCCCAAAACTTAAGATCTTTATTACAAACTTCCTGGTGCTCAAGACCCCCAATACCAAAATTAACTTTCAGCAGAGACCAGTTCTAATTCACTGAGTTCCAGATAAACACTACCCACAGTCCTTAGGGTCCACCATTACCATGTCTGAGGACAGAAAAGTATGCTATTAAGCAATATCCAATCTTAAATTTACCAGAAATAGGACTGTTATTGGGGGAGGGGAGAAGAGAAGGAACAGTAATCCTCAACCAACCAAATAAACTTGGCTTTCGTTTCTTTTCTGTTGAAAGAGATGAGCTTAGACATGGGAATTCTGTTTGATTCTAGCACTAATAGGGTAGAGTAGAAGCAGCACAAAATGGTAGCCAGACAAATCTCTCTGACTACTGTGTATGGCATGTTCAAAATCAGGCCTCAGTAAGTTACAGATAAAAGCTGTACTCTGACTGCATTAGTTGTAGTAGCAACTAATTGGCTGCCATCCTAGCTGAACTTAATACCTGGGACTGAAGCTGTTGATAGGAATGGGGGCGGGGGGGGGAGAACGGCTTTTGGAGGGAAGCTGATGTTGGTATTTGAGGCTCCAGAACAGAGGTGGGCACACTACAGCTCACGGGCCATATCCGGCCCATGGGACCATCCTGCCCGGCCCTTGAGCTCCTGGCCAAGGAATCTAGCCCCTGGCCCCTCCCCTGCTGCTACACCACTATGTGGGCAGTGCAGCTTGCTCTGCCTGGGCAGCGGCTGGGTCGGAGGTTCTGAGGGGGCGGGAAGTGGAAGGGGGCAGGGACCAGGCTGTTTGGGGGGCACAGCCTTCCCTACCCAGACCTTCATACGGTTTTGCACCCTGATGTGGCCCTCGGGCCAAAAAGTTTGCCCACCCCTGCTCCAGAAGAAAGGACAGATTAGATTGGTAAAATTTGCCAGCAACATCAGTACAGACACTAGCTAGAGTACAAGGGAGTGACTGTGGAGGGGCTGCTGAGTATAGTTAGACTCCAACCCAGAGACAGATGCAGGAAGAATCTGGACCAATGATTTCCATCAATTTTATTTTGCATAGAAAACTTTGCACTTCAAGTGGAATAGGCTGTGCTGCCAATTCTTGTTTTAAGAAAATGGAGGCTCCAGGAGCAATAAAAAGGAGATGGTATTCCAGTCCTCCTCTCTGATCTCTATGAACAGATCAAAGAATGCAGCCCCTTCAAGCTTTTTGACTCCAGGAAGTGTGTTGGCACCATTCTAGCAAACTGTGCTTTAAATCCGTGCTTACTGAAAGGGACTAATCTAGGTTCCCCAGCCAACATTAAACAGGGTATTTTATGCTTTGAAGAACTAAACAGGGATGTAAGGAATGCATTTTAGTCATCTTACAGACTTTTAAGTGGAGAATTATTTCCACATGTTAGAATTAAAAACTGAAAGTGGAATTTAATTCTCATGTCAACATCACAGCGGAAGTTAGATGCTCAACCCTGACAGGAAGGGGTTACATACCTAATTCCAGGCATACAATGAAGAGAGGGGTTTTCTGGCACCTGGGAGTTCTGCAGGCAATAATGGATTACGTGGACATGTAATATCACCAGCCCAAGAATCTAATTCTGCAGTACATTTCATCCTTTTGTGAGGATGAGTCTCAACACCACCATGCCACAAAACTCCTTTAACCAATAGTTTTCAGGATCCCGTTCCATTTGAAAGCATAGCCCTGTTGCTACCATGCTTGCCAACCCACAGACAGGTTCCCCGGCCTGCTGATGTGGAACAAGTACCACACCATACGAAATGAAAACAAACCACACTATAACCTTTGCTTTCATTTTCTGCGGTGTGGCAGCAAGACAAAGCTAGGATTCTTGTTCCACTCGAGCAAGCGGGGAAACCACTTGAGACAGAAGTATAACAACAACAGAGAGCCTCAATCTTGTCCCTGCTTTAAAAAAAAAAGGGGGGGGAGAGGGATTGACATTTTAAAGCCAAGCCTCCAATGCCAGCTGCAGTGCCAACCGTTTTAATGTATGTTAAGCTGCCCAGCAATACATCTTTGGGTAGCCTTTTGTTGCAACTCCTTGTAATAAGGTGGTTATCTGACTCCCTCACTAATTCCTCTTCAAAATTAGGGCACTGGCGTCCCATGCAGTTCCTCCTGGTCTGTCAGGGCCAGGTCCCCTTGGCGGACTATTGGATCAACAAGGATGGGTTTTAAAAACAAAAAAATCCTAGCCTGTGAGTCACCAGCACTTGACTCCCGCGCCCCCCGGGAGGACTCAGTCGAGAGAAGTGACACCAGGTCTGGGCTGCGCCTGGGAGCAACAAGGGGGGGGGGGGGGGCATGACGCGGTTCCTTCACTTCAACACCACGGCACGGCCGCTCCGGGCGGGCAGGTCCCCACGGCGGCCGGGCCCCGGAGCGATGCCGGCCCGGGGCGGGCGGCACCTCTCGAGGCCGGGCACGGGGGGTTGGGGGGGTGAAGCCCCTCAGGAGAGAGCGGGGGTCCCCCCCTTTAGCGGGGGAGGGGGCTCTGAGCCCGGTACAATCACCCCCCCTCACACACCGCAGCCCCCCCCCGGCAGGGGGAGCGGCCCCTACCACGCCGCGAAGCGGGCCGCTGCCGGGTACCCGGGCCCCCCTGCCGGCCGCTCGTCCCCCCGCGGCCCGGTCCTCACCGAAGGTGCGGCGCTGCTTGAAGCTCTTCTCGGAGGGCATGGCGGCGGCGCGGCTTGGCCCAGCCCGGCCCGGCTCCAGCGGCTACTGGCGGCGCCGCTCCGCCCCTGCCTCCACCACCACCACCCGCAGGGCCTGCTCGCCCGCGCGTCACAGGGGGCGGGGCCCGGCGCCTGCCCCCGGCGCCATCTTGAGTGTGGCGGAGCTGCGGCGGGGGCCCTGCGCGTGCGCGCAACAGAGGGAACGCGGCGGTGCTCAGCCGCGAAGGCCGGCCCGGCCCCGCCCCTCACGTGCGGCCTGAGTAACAAACCGCCCCCTAGTAGCCCCAGGCCAGCGCCAGGCCTCGTGCGTCACATGGGGAGCTCGGCCCAAGGCTGCCCCACGATCTCAGCAGCCACAGCCCCTCCCCCACGATGCGCCGTCACGAGCAGCACCCTCCAGCACGTACCCCCTCACCAGCCCCATCACAATACTCCCCTCACGGCCCCCTTGCCGGCCCCCCCGGGACCCCCTCACCAGCCCCAGCATCCCCCCACCTCCATCACAATACTCCCCTCACGGCCCCCTTTCCCCCCCCCCCCCCCCCCCCCCCCCCCCCCCCGCCCCCCCACCTCCCCTTGCCGGCCGGCCCCCCCGGGACCCCCTCACCAGCCCCAGCATCCCCCCACCTCCATCACAATACTCCCCTCACGGCCCCCTTGCCGGCCCCCCCCGGGACCCCCTCACCAGCCCCAGCATCCCCCCACCTCCATCACAATACTCCCCTCACGGCCCCCTTGCCGGCCCCCCCGGGACCCCCTCACCAGCCCCAGCATCCCCCCACCTCCATCACAATACTCCCCTCACGGCCCCCTTGCCGCCCCCGGACCCCCTCACCAGCCCCAGCATCCCCCCACCTCCATCACAATACTCCCCTCACGGCCCCTTGCCGGCCCCCCCGGACCCCCTCACCACCCCCCACCTCCATCACAATACTCCCCCCCCCCCCCCCCCCCCCCCCCCCCCCCCCCCCACCAGCCCCAGCATCCCCCCACCTCCATCACAATACTCCCCTCACGGCCCCCTTGCCGGCCCCCCCCGGGACCCCCTCACCAGCCCCAGCATCCCCCCACCTCCATCACAATACTCCCCTCACGGCCCCCTTGCCGGCCCCCCCGGGACCCCCTCACCAGCCCCAGCATCCCCCCACCTCCATCACAATACTCCCCTCATGGCCCCCTTGCCGGCCCCTCCCCCCAGTAACCCCTCACCGGCCTCAGCATCCCTCCACCTCCATCACAATACTCCCCTCACCAGCCATAAGCCTAGTGTATGGGGACAACTCATCCCATGAGCCTGGCCGGGCCACAGCCTCGCCCCCCTGCGATGCCTCCCATCAGCCTCCCTCACACCCCATGCCTTCTCACCAGCTCCCCACACACTGCCATACCAACCTCAGCCACCCCCCACATAGACCATGGTGCCCCCACATGCTACCCACTCACCACGCCCATGCCAGCCACAGCCACTCCCATGATACCCCCACCAGCACCATGCCAACCTCTTCGTGTGATGTCTCCATCAGTGTCACAACCGCCACATATAGCACCTCCCAGCACCACACTGACCACAAACTGTCCCCTGGCATCATACCAACCTCCAAATGCCAGCACTTGGTGTTCCCACTCCCATCTAAACATCCCCATGACAACCATAGCCCCCTCCATGTAATTTCCTCCTACAGGCCTACACTAGCAAAGCCCAGCCATGTTGCTGGGTTCAGCAAATACTGTAACTGGATGCCCTAAGATGAGTTTAATTGTACCATATGGGGACCACTCGGACTTTGTCTTTGTTATCATCACCCTTAAGTTTCCAACCATCGCAGCTCTAATTCTATTTGTGCTAGAACAGTAGAGACCAGACACTGGCGGTTTAAGCATTGTGTGATTACTTGTCCTCCTCTATATCTGATCAAGATAGGATATGGGTTTGTTACTGCCCCTAGTTACTGAGCCTGGCTCTTTATGTCTTTATAACTAGTGAGACTCATGCTTTCAACCCTAGAGGTCCCTCCCAGGTTCAATCCCCTTGGTAGCAGAGATGGTCTTTCTCACACTAGCACTGTGGTAGCACAAGAATAGGAATAAATACTTGTATACACACAGCTTCTGGATCTAGCTTCAGTTACAGACAGTTTCCCAGTCTGTAAGGGCATCTCCTGCAGCTAAACAGCTAAAACAATTCACTCCTCCCCATTCAATTCACCTCTTCAGAGGTCACCTGCTCATCCCTACCCCACTCCACCACGCACACACACTCACCACATCTCACAGAGCAGGTGTACATTGCACAACCTAAATGGCACCATTAAAATGCAGATGCTATTATGACAAACCTGATCAGCAGTCCTCTCATCTAGCCATTATTGTCCTTCCCAGACCCTTTGCCTAAGGGTGAGTGATTACTTCTCTTTTCCTAGAGACATGAAGCATGTTGATAAATGCAAAGTAATGCACATTGGAAAACATAATCCCAACTATACATATAAAATGGTGAGGTCCAAATTAGCTGTTACCACACAAGAAAGAGATCTTGGAGTCCCCATGGATAGTTCTCTGAAAACATCCACTCAATGTGCAGCGGCAGTCAAAAAACCTAACAGAATGTTGGGAATCATTAAGAAATGGATAGATAAGACAGAAAATAGCATCTTGCCTCTATATAAATCCATGGTATGCTCACATCTTGAATACTGCGTGCAGCTGTGGTCATCCCATTTAAAAAAAGATATATTGGAATTGGAAAAGGACAACAAAAATTATTAGGGGTATGGAATGACTACCATATGAGGAGAGATTAATAAGACTGGGACTTTTCAGCTTGGAAAAGAGATGACTAACGGGGAAGGGGTATGATCAAGGTCTATAAAGTCATGACTGGTGTGGAGAAAATAAGGAAGTGTTGTTTACTCTTTCTCATAACACAAGAACTAGGGGCCACCAAATGAAATTAATAGGCAGCAGGTTTAAAACAAAAGGAAGTATTTCTTCACACAAAACACAGTCAACCTGTGGAACTCCTTGCCAGAGGATGTTGTGAAGGCCAAGACTATAACAGGATTCAAAAAAGAAAGGTCCATCAATGGCTATTAGCCAGGATGGGCAGGGATGGTGCCGCTAGTCTCTGTTTTCCAGAAGCTGGGAATGGGTGACAGGATGGATCACTTGATGATTACCTGTTTTGTTCATTCCCTCTAGGTCACCCAGCATTGGCCACTGTCGTAAGACAGGATACTGGACTAGATGGACTTTTGGTCTGACCCCAGTATGGCCGTTCTTATGACATTAAGCAACAATCCCAGTCCCAATCAGGCTTGGTAATATGGGCTGCATCCCCACAACTGTATCAAAACACCATCAATGGCATTATTTAAGTTTAAGGTTGCAAGGACACCCCCCCCCATCATCTACTTTGACCTGTATATCACAGGTCACCCACACCACCCCAACACCTGCGCAAACACACTAAACCCAACAACTGAAATGAGACCAAAGTATTACAGCCCATGGGAGACTACACTATTATGTGCCATAGGCAGAGAGTAGGAGCGACTGAAGTGCACCATTGCCTGAGGCTCCCTGTAAGATATACCCAGAGAATCTTGGCAAGTGACCTGTACCCACTTGCTGCAAAGGAAGGCAAAAACAAACAAACAAAAAAACAACCCCTCTGCCCCCAAGGTCACTGCCAATCTGACCAAGGGGGAAATTCCTTCCTGACCCCACATACGGTGATATGTGAGCAAGAACCAGACAGGGAAGCACCAGGAGAGAGAATGCTCAGTGCCACGTCAGAGCCTTGGCCTCCCTGTCCAATGTCCCTTCTCCAGCTATAGCCATTGCATGCTTCAGAGGATTTTAAAAAATTGAAGATATAGGGGAGGGAGAATCCCTTCCTGACCTCGGCAAGTGGCCGGCTGAAATCCTGAAGCAAGGGTTTTTAGGAACATAAAACAAACTGGAAGTGAGCCCCAGGGCTGTTGAGTCCTGTCCCCTGCCAACAGGTTTTCTGCTTCTGAGAGAACAGCCACTTACTAAGTCAGAACAATCTTCAGGGTATTTGATTTATAATACAAAGCAAAAATAAGTGTATTTCCCCTGCTCTTATAACACAAAACAGCTGAACCATTTTAGCCTAAGTTTCCAAAATACATCCTCTTCTGGGGTGGGGTGGAACCAAGAAAAGTTTACTTCTAAGGGACTATTTTGTTTGTAGAATTGAACACAGGAATTTATCACAAAATTTGCCTTCTCATAGCCATAGCATTGACCCCAGCTCAGTTAATATGTATTTTTATTTATTCCTATTAACATAGACTGCATAAAAACAGTTTAGCTTGTCAAGGAGACGGAGGGGTGGGGGGACAAGGGGTAGGAGACTTTAAGGTCTGGAAGCAGTTTATTTTAAGCATAAGAAAGTTGCATGATTCAGTATTTCCATGGTGCATTTAGGCTTTATCTACACTAAGGGGCTTATCTCCATGTACAGTGATACAGCTGCATCTGTAGCACTTTAGTGAAGACACTCCTACGCTGACAGGAGAGCTTCTCCCATCAGCATAGTTAATCTACCTCCCCGAGAGGCGGTAGCTATGTTGGCGGGAGAAGCTCTCCCATCAACACTGCGCTGTCTGCACAGGGGGTTAGGTCCGTATAACTATGTCGCTCAGGGGACGGATTTTTCACACCCTTGAACAACGTAGTTATACTGATATAGGTCTGCAGTGTAAATCTGGCCTAAGGAACTGCAACAGTATCTCACATGTTCAGCTGCAAATGCTAGCATACAGTTGCTGTGCCTCACCTAGAGAATTTTATTAGGTACAGCTAAGTAACTCCGCCTGGCACCTTTAAATCCTAGTCTAGACCAATCTTCATTTTGAAACCTGGACCAAGCCATATCAATGTATCAAACTTGTTAGAACTGTAGCAGAACCCAAACAATTTCAGTTGCAAACCCAGTTTTCATTTATGCCTGCCCAGCCACCAGCCTCTGCTAAAGTCAAACTGTTTTTAATTTTAACTGCCTTATACAGTACTATAAGCTATCGGGGTGACCCATGACCTTGCCATGATGGTGCATTAAAGTCAGTGCTCCTTCTGCAGCCAGTCAGACAA